ATGTACTATTTTTACAATATAACCTATAGTTAACCCAAGTCGTGAAATGGAAATAAAAAATTTATAATTTAATAATAATTTTTTGAGCATATTTATTGAGCAACTCAATTAACAAAGCTTTTTAGAAAAATTAAACAACAAAAAAAGAAAGTATTCAACATTGAAAATTCTAAATTATCATTGAACTGTCTCAACTAAATTATAATTATCTATTCAAAAAATAAAATTGAAGAATTTTTTTATAAAAAATCTTGGACAATTGACGTAACAAAAGTTGTGTACAATATTATTTTTAAAATAAAATAATAATTTATTCTATCAGGTTTGGTTAGATTTATTAGTTGACATTCTATTAATTTAAAATGGATTTATTTTGGGCTTTGATACGGATCTGAAATGGTATTGTTTTAGTGATCGTACATATATATATTTTGTTTGTAAAATTTGAAGACTTTCTTGCTATTTGACTTTTTTGGTATCTAAAATAATTACACAGCTTATTTAATAAAAAAACGTATTTTCCTTTGTTGAAAAAGTATGGCAATTTATTTAGAATCTATTTAAATCATTTGGTTATAAAAATAAGTGGAATATAAATTTTACAGAACATTTTATGTACTCAATAAAAATATATAGATTCTTGATTTAATATTTAAAGTTTAGTTTTTTTAATGTTATGAATAAATAAATAATTTTATCTTGTAATTTGCAAAATACAAATCGCAATTTTCTAAAAATAAATAAATGTTTTGATTTGGAATGTGGGTTAGTATTATACTTATCCACATAATGTGTACTATTACACTAAACATCATTGAAAAACGGTAGCACAGTGGGGTCGAGGCATATATGGGTAAGTATAAATGATATCCAACAGTGATTAAAATCACTATCATAAGAAACGCTTCGATGCAAATTTGTTAATAGTGTTTAATTCTAAAAAAGTAACTAGGAAAATATATTCGTAGAAAGATCAAAACTATACTTTTTTCTATTCAATTTTAATACATATGACAAATGTCATAAACTTTTTAGCTTTAATTTTGAATTTTATAAGATAATTTTAATATACAAAAATTACTTTTATTACAAATATACAAATTTTAAACAATTAATTTAAAAATAATGTTTTCTTAATCAGTGTACCTAAAAAAAAATTACATTTTATACTAGTTCTTAGTATTTAAATTTATAGAACTTTTTTTTAGTTTCTTGATATTTACATTGCCGAGTATATTTTTATCAATTTTTTAAATAGTTGTAATAATAATAGTATAAATAATTTTAAAGTATACTTTTTCTTTTAACACAGACAAAAAGTTTTTTTTTCATTTTTCATTGCTAATTTATTTGATTAGCCTTATACTGTTGACTATTCTTTAGGGAATGAGTAAACATTATTTATTTGAACAGAAAATTATTTTTAGCTCTTTTTATTCAAACATTTTTTTTCTTATTTCCTAATATTTTTTTAATTTACAAAATACTTTTTTGTATATTTTTAATCATTATCTTACTAAATTTCCCCTAAATACCATTGGACTTACCCAAATTATTTTAACAGAAACAAAAAATAAAGTAAACATTTTTATTCAAGATAATATTATATTAGATAATTATTTGACTTTATTTTATTTAATGTTTATTTGACTTTGCTTATTCTTTTTTATACTTGAACTTATATTATTAAATGTATAATACAAATTTTAATTACTTAATAAATTATAAAAAACTCATAATATATCAATTAAAACGATTAAATTCGATAGCTGATTGTTTTTAAGAATACAAGTCAAATGAAAAATAATCTTCAAAAAAAAAAAAAAAACTTTTGTTCTTAGTAAAATGAAAAAATGTATAAAACTTCTCTCATTACTGTTAAAAGTAATAGTTTTTATTATACTTAAGGAACTTTGGATAGTGGTTACAACAAATTTTCAGCCAACTTTCATTTAGATAGATGAGATCCGGATGGTTAATTTTTGACCATCACAAATTAACTTTGATCAAGACATACAATTTAAGTTTCAAACTTTTGTATTTAAACAACGATTGAAAAATCCCAAAATACAATTTCAACATTTTTTTATAAACTATCTATTTACTTATATACAAATTATTCTTTCAACAAAGATTTAAAAAATTAGAAAATTGCAAAGAATTTTTTTTAAATAATAAATTTAAAAACACAAAAAAGTATAAAATATTTTTTATTTCAACTTATATTTTTTGTAAGCAATTCTGCATTTATTTATATACTACTTGTATTAATTTATTCAATAAAAATAAGGAAAGACAAATTAAGGAAAAGGTTACATTTTATTTTTATTTAATCATTTGAACAAAAAAGTTTTGAGGAAAAATGTTTATTTTAATATTAATATATTACTATACATGAAAATTAAGACCGTAGACAAAGACAAAAACAGTAAATCTAAAAAAAAGCGCGTTCCTAATTAAATGGGACTGCATAAACCTTGTTAAAAAAGGAGAACTCTGTGTAAAAAAATTTTGAAGAGTAGCAAAATTTAAACTACTGATTATTAAAAATAATTGAATGAGGGTATAAAATGGAAATAGTAATAATCGTTTTCTCTAAAAAATTCCTTAATAATTTATGAACAATTTTATAAATTCAGATTTATAGAAAAAATCTAAAAATTATTAATGGTAATTATTTGTATGAGATTATACAAATATATATGAATAATTGATTTATTAAGTAGCATGTTTATGAGAAAATTTAATATTGTGGACAATAATATTTTCAAAGCATAGTTGTTTTTTATATAATAATATCAAAAAAAAGTGTTTCTCAAAAAAATAATTACGTTTTAAAGTATAATTTTCTTTTAATTTTAAGTGTTCTATAAATTTAAAAAATTTAAATGATCAATATTGAACAAAAAAAGTGTTTGAAGTCATCTTTTAAATTAATTTATAAGGATCGTTGTATTTTTAACAGCATAAATTATAATTTTGATAATAATTATTATTTTTCTTTAGGCCATTAAATTTTACTGTTTAATTATACCTTATAACTTATTTATAATTTTGTTAAATTAAAATTTATCCTTAACAGATAAAAAATCTTTTAGGCAAAACCTTTAATTAATTAAAATTATTTGCTTTATTATTATTAAGACATTAAATTAATTAATATTCTCTATACTACTTATTATTTCTATTGATGCATTTTATTCTTAAAATTCAAATAGCTTTAAATAAAGATAATACGTTGGCTGATGTGTATTTTTTTACAATTGTATTTGAAAAAATATATTTAATGTTCAGTTACTCAGAGTCTGAGCTAGCGTGTTTCTTTGATCACAAGTTTTTGGAAACGTTAATTACGCTTAACGAAGGCTTTCGCGAAGTCCATTAACTAACCTTCATATAAGATCAAACTAAGATTTTTACTTCAAAAAAATAAATAGAAATTCTAAAATATTTACAGATTTTTTATACGAGAATTGTACAAAGTATAAATAAACAAGAAAAAAAAAATTAATTAAAGTAACTAATTTAAAAAGAACATAATTTTTTGTTATTTATTTTATAATAAAGAACTACAAAGAACTAATATTATTTTATTAAAGCTACAGTTAAATATGTTAAATATATTGTACGATTTGCTAACTATAACAAAAATTTATAATTACATAACTTTTATAAAAATAAATCAACTAATTGATAAACCCAAAAAGGAGTTTGGATTCATTCAGTATTATTTTTGTATTTCAAAAAATTTCTATTAAAAAGAATATATGGTCTTTTGATGTCTAAAATTTACATTTCCTGTCATTTACATCACACGAATAAATTTTATTCATCATCATCATTTATTTGCAGAGCAAAGCAATAGTTTTTGTATAAATATTTGGATTGCAATGCACTTTAAGTGTTTACATAGGAATAATTAAATAGGCCAAATCTAAACCCTCTTAGTTATTTCATTCAATTTTGAGGTTACATGTGATTTTTTAGTCAGTCGTCTAAGCACAATTACATACGAGTAAGTCTATCAATTTTACTTAAAAAGATGCAACCTAAAAACGAATCTTACTAAAACCGTGTTAATTACTCGACAATTACTATATTTAGTTGCTAAACTACTATTTGAAAGTAAATCACAAACTTGCTTAACATGTAGCTAAATTACTGAACATGTAAGGACTTTTAGTACTAAAACTATTAGTTAAAAACTTTTTGTTATAAATTATCATTACACTTTGATGGTTTTCTGATAAAAAAAAAATACTGCGCTTTAGTTCTTCCTTTACAACTCAAAATAATTTATGATGGTTTTATAAGAAGTTACCAAGTCAATAAATTTATTTCAAGGCAAAAATTCTATCTACTTTTTTTATAATTTAAACTATTTTTACCTAGTTTAAAAAAATATTATCTTTTTACAGTGATGTATTCAGAGATATGTTATTACATAAATGTCGTATTTGCCACCCCATTTATTTAGTAATTTGTCATTGTAGACATCTCTATGGCCACTCCTAATGTTGCCACTCTAAGCTTCAGCCTACTTAGCATGGCTAAGAACGCAACTGTCTCGTCATTATTATTTATATAATTTTGGAGTTTTAATTTTACGAAAATTCGATTATATTATTTATTCAAACAATTTATTTGTTGTAAAAGGTGTGTACATCATTTGTTCAGTGACTGCGATAAAAAAATGTAAAAATAAGAAAGGTTTATCCCAATAAATCCATGTGCTCGTTGATGCCTTTAAAGCCAAACCCATTATAGGCTCCAAAATATTCTATTACCTGTTTTATTTTTTATGGTGCCTTGAAAATATTTACGACCGAAAATGCGGTAAATGTTTGGTGTTATAAATAAACTATTCTGGAGACGAATTTATCTCCTTCGACGTTATTCAAAAATATTTCTTTTTTTCAATAACGTCGCAAAAAGCTTATTATTAAAATGTCCCACAATTAATGACATATTTTTAACTATTTGATAAATTGTTATTTCAGAATTTACAAAGAAGCTGTGCGACAGAGACAGGCTCTATCTAGAACCTCGAGTAATATTATCTTAAATAGCATACACCAACATAGGATACAACATTACAGTCATAGATTAAGACCTCCGGACAGTGATAGCTTAACAAATGGCGGTGGTAAGTGTACTAAATAATTATGTTTCGTCGTTGAATATGAATGATAATTTGAGCACAGAGTTATTATTTTCTAGTATTAAATTATTTTAGTTAAATACCGCATAATGTAAAGATAATCTCACCTAAATATTAAGTAAAGATCTTAAAGTCTTAAAAAGTTACAAGCCGCATGATAAAACAATAATTTAGACTGCAAAATCATTACACAAACAAAACAATAAATATTTGTATAATATATGTATGCATATAATAATATAAATATGACTAATAAAAAAGTCATATAGCAATGATATGTTGAACATTTTTTTTTTTTTTTGATAATATGCATAATTCATAAAAATATTTGTTTTTTATTGAAATTATTAGTGAACCTTTCTTTTATATTATTTATCCCTAATTATTCATCCCATAATGTTGAACTCAAATAAATATTACTTTGAGAAAATGTTCACATCGAACTAACGCGTTGGTTGCAAACGGACTAATATGTTTTTCGCATTAAATACAACTTGAATTTATGTGGAATTTATTTAGCATAAAAGACTGGTTAGGTTTCATATAATTTTATTAAATACCAAATAAATTTTCAGCTGTGATTCTATAGTAGCACTATAAAAATGTATTCGTACAGTTTTATGTTATTTCTAACTATAAAAAAAGTTTTTTGTAACTTATAGGAAAAATATAAACAGTTTGATTATTAAAGAAAAAAAAAGTTTTAAATGTAAAAGTGTACATCTTATAACCAGCAAAAAAAAATCTACATGCAGAATAGTGAAATAGTTTTAAAACTTTTTTAAGTATTTTTACAATAAAAGTTTAAGCGAAATGATATATCATTTGCTGACATTTTAATCTACTATCGCCAGTTTGAGTTAAATAAACGTACGTTAAACCAGCATCAGATTCTCATAGTTATCTCTGTATAAATTTCCGAGAAACTCATAGAGACACACGCGCGCAACACGATTGTAAGTCGGTGACAATTGCTAAAGTACGGCAGAGACTCGATCGATGCGTAGGCTCTGGGGCATATCAATCATTCAGCGTGCGGTCGAGAGAAAAAAGAGAACTGACAGCCAGATAGACCATTGTGTCTACATTTATACATTAGGAGACTGATGAGTAAAGGCTAATAACCAAGATGTTTGAATAAGATAAATTTATGTATACATATATATGAGTATATATATATTTTTTTATGAACGAAGTAATTAAATTTTTTTTTTGCGCCATTAAAAACTTCTACTTTTCTAGTTCGTAAAATAAATTATATGATTCAAATTGTATTGAAGTATAATTGTTACAAGGATATATCGTCAAAGCTTAAGAAACCAAGTCTAAAACAGTAACAAATAAAATAATTTTAAGATCACATTTTAGTGGAACAAAGAATTTTGTTTAAGTGTTTTTAATACAACTCAGCAAATTTGCTGCCTTACTATATAAAATTAGTTCTATTTAATTAGGTTCGCTAAACCAACAATTTATAAAACGAACGTGTATATAATCTACATAAGTTGTTTTTATTAGCCTATAAGAACCACAAACTTATTAAATAAATGGAACGCACGTACAATATTAAATTCACACACAAACATTCGGTTTGAGCAATGTAAGAAGATATGAATAATTTAAAACATAATAATATTTTGCATGTAAATCTTATACGACTTTGCTCTTATTTTCTTAAACTCCTCTTTTTCTTTTGGCAACACAATTTGCTTAGAACTGAATATTGTTAGCAAAGAAACTTTTTTTCTAAACCAAAACTATTATAAAATATATTTAAAGTTGTTTCAACTAAGTATTCATTCTAATAGACAAAACTCTGGTAAATTTAAAAAAATGTTAAATTTTAGATTTAACAATTAAAAAGGTGTTGCAAAGATTATATAGTTGTTAATTATTCCTTGAGCTTTTAATACCTACTATACTTATAAATTAGCATTTTCCAACTAAAATAAAATAAAAAGCAGAAGACGACTTTTTATTCCTAATCTTTAAATTCTTTCTCTGTAGTAATAACATGTTAAACAATTCTTTCTGTAATAACATGAATTATCAAAAAATAAAAGTTTAGAATGCACATTTTGCCGTATTATCTTTGAACGAATAGACAGTTGGCAGGTTTTGAAAACAAACTCAAGACAGATTACAAATCACCATTAATCCTAAGATTTTTGTAGTATTCAAGTTGGAAAGTTTCCAAAATAAAATGACACGGTTAACCGGAGCTGACAGATGGCTATTACCGTTAATAACATAAATTACTAGTTTGTTTTGCGATAATTGTTTATTTGGTTTATATATATATATATATATTTATTTTTTTTTTTCTTAAGTGTGAAGATGATAATCATTGGCTTTACAATGATATTTTTTCGATGATGTAGTTGATTTTAAATTTACTTTTTTTATCGGTCTATCTTCATGCGTGTGACTAACTTATCAGTATTTATAAAGAAATACATGTAAAATGCAAATCAAAATGAACTAAAGAAGTACTTCAATTACTTTTTTATAAAATAAATAAATTAAAATAATATCTTTAAAAACCAAGTATAATTTTATGTCAAATATTTTTATTTTACATGTTTGACAAGTAATATACAAAAAATAATATACCTTATATTCTATACTCTTAAATATCTTAAAAGAATAATTCAATTTATACGATGATTTTGATAAATAATTTTAATTGCAACTCAATTAATGAATTAATTTGTAAAAAAAATTTTATTCTATTTAATTCAATATGAATATGTTATAATTTACTGCATAAACTATAAGGTTAAACCATATACTTTTATAATTTTGTTGTTAAACTTTAAACATTATTCATTTTTTTCATGAAGAAATTTTTATAATTTGTCATTAAGAATAAAATATCAAAAAAGTTGACTAAAAACCATTATAGAAAAAAGTTTAATCAAGCTGTATAAGTTTTTGATAAGTCAAAAATATTATTAAAATGTTCTTTTTTGTTTTTACTCGATGGTTAAAAGTGTTGACAAAATCTATTTTCAGCTTGTTTGTATGTATTGTTAGTAGTAAATGTGTACTTATGTATGTCGATAGCAATTTAATTTTGAAGTTTAGATTTACAAAAGCTTAATAAAATAAAAAAAGATGTCTTGCCCGCACGTGATTGGAACACTTTAAATAATGGACCAGTGTGCACAACTTTTAATATGCCATAGTCATTGATTGATTATACTTTTAAAAGTTTCAATTATCAGGTGAGTGGAACATTTTCAAAAATGACGTTTTACACGCGCGTTTGTTGTTAAATTACACTGTTGTATAAAAGAATTGTTAAAATGTTTTCATTTAACAAGAATCAAAAGCGTATCCGTCGAATAAATGCAAACTCGAGTCACTCTCTTCAAAATCTTTGTTTCGCTCACAATGCTCTATTAACTACACAATGCTCATATTGACTTACTTCGGATAATGATCTATTATGTGATAAAAGGAAAATAAATAATGTCCGGAAATACTTTTTGTACCATGACAATAATATAAAATATTATTCCAGCAATAACTATGAAAATTCTAAAACTTTCAAACATATATTACAATAAGGAAAAAAGTATAAATCGCAATCCAAAATAATCTGATATACCATGATGGTTTCATGAGTTTTTAGGTTTCAATTACTATTCAAAATAAAGTATATATGCTCAGATTTTGTAAGGGTTTAATGGCTTTGAACAATACAAATAAACTACAAGTATACCTATAAATGACCTTAATGGTATTAAGTTTCAATTGAGTTTGACTTGAACTAAAAGCCCAAATAATTGAATACTGTAAACTATCCATGTGAAATGTTACAAATGCGAGATTAACAATAACCGTGATTAACAATCACGGTTATTGGAAGTTATCGGAACAACGATCAAGTGTTTAATTTCACATAAATACTATCGAATTTCAGATTCTCTCGAGTGAGTGTGATTTCCGACGGCAGTTTTAAAAATTGATGTTATACAAGTAGCTAACTACATTATATTTGATTCCTATGTGAAATGTAGTCTTACCTAAGAAAATAATTTCAAATAAAATGTCACGAGTCAATTTTAAATTATTTTTTCAAAACAACTAACAATGGCAGCTTGTTCAATTATTGGTAATGTTATGCTTGTTTTTTTTTAATTTAATTTTTAAAGAGTTTATTTTTAGTTTATTCAGTATACTATACAATAGCTTTCTTTGTTAAATTCATAATGAAATCATACTAATTTAGACATATAAACAATAAACAGTATAGCTAAAGACTATAATATTTAAGTCTATAGATTGTAAAAAATGAGATTAAAATAATAAAGTTTTTTTTTAATTAAAAAAAACAATTATTCAAAAATACCGTTAATGTTCTTACTTTAATCGAAAAATGAAAAAACTTAGATTTATCAGTAGCTTTAACATAATAGACAAAAATAAATGAACAACTATTGTCTGTTTAGATTTATGACTTACGACCAAAAAAGAAGCAAATATTTTGTTTTTGTATACCATAAGTTTTACAAATAATTATAGACATACCTAATGATGTTAAGTGTGACATTATATTTATTTATAAAAACTTTTCTAGAAATATTCAAAAGGTTTATGCTTAAAGAAGTGCTATTTAATGGCAAAGAAATTTTAATTATTTTTAAACCTATTAAGAATGTCTATTTAGCGTTTATTCTAGTATAAAATTTAAATTATATAACTTTGACATTATAAAATAATAATTTGAAAATTATTAATCATAATTATCTTTTTGTTTCAATTTATTTGAAAAATATAGCAAATCAAAATTTCATAGAAATAATGTAATCATTGGCGTTAATAAAGGATGCTTTGTGGAGCCAGCATCTAAAAGCTTAAGAAAATAATACATAAACAAATATAAACCTTGGTGAGAAACTTCATTTATTTTTAGCATCAATATTATCATTTATTTTATGAACTTTATAAAATTATAAAAACTTCATTAGAATAAATAA